CACCTCCCCATGGCATACACTAGCCAGTCACCGTCAAATGCCCAGAGAGAACGGGCTGGGAAAACAACATATACTTCAACACGGCACGTTCAGCGGGGAGGCGTCATTGGAGGAACCTACGAGAAGTATCCCAAGGTAGAAGTCTAACGAGCCTATGACAATGTCTAAGCCTAAAGCTACTTGTATGTAGTGTCTGCCATCTGAGCTGCACAGACCCTTCCTCTTCTAAACCACACAACACTGGCAGTGCACCTTCCCCTGTTGCTGCCACCCTTTGCAAGCAGGAAAATACCGTGTGTGTGTGTGTGTGTGTGTGTGTGTGTGTGTGTGTGTGTGTGTGTTAGGGGGTGGGGAGACACAACCAAACACTGTTAGAATTCTATTGCCTGCAAGGGTTTAAGCATGCAACCTTTATCCTTACCTGGATCACTACAGAAGTAAAAAGGGAAGTGGCTTCTCAATATGAGCTTCACTATTATTTAATCCCATGTCCCAAATGATCTAAATTCATCTTAAGAACCATACAGAGTCTCGCACACAACCGGTAGGACCGGAGCCTGCGCTGGTATAGCATGTCATTTATTTGTGTGAGGGAAGTCTCTCTCTCTCGCGCGCCTAGCTGCACTCCATCGACGAGGTCCCAGAAGTGAGGTGGGCACCTCAGAGAGGCTTGCTGAGGCTTTCCCTGACCGCCTCACCACCACACACACACACATACACACACACATACACACACACACACACACACACACACACACACACACACACACACGCAACAGTAATTTCATTAGCTAACTATCTGCCCACACCCTTGACCCTCCTCCAGGAGAACACGGTGAGTTGTGTCCACGTCCACTGTTTTGTTTAGTGTTCTAGCCCCAGCATTAATGTCTAACACGTGATCAACACTCACTACACATCTGAAAGAATGAGGGAAGGAGAGCCTTCTGTTATCTGGAGGCCCTTCATGTTAGACCCATGGTATTTAGTTGGCAGGAAGTATATGATAATCATGCTGGGGCTACCAGACGGAACAATCTCGTGGCCTGGATATAGAGTCCGGGCTGGACAAACTGAGATCAGCCCCATACTTATCACGTGGGGCAGGCTTTGGTGCACGGCATGATTGGAAGAGCCTACGAATACCAAGTCAGAAATCAAATAAATCTATGGCAGTGTGTAAGACCTCAGAGCCAAAATGCACCTCACAGGAGAGCAGCTGATGTAGCTCAGCAGGGTCACTCAAGGCCAGCTCACAAAGGACAGGCTGAACCTAGAGTCTCTGGGCAGAGGGGAGATGGGCAAGCCAGCCTGGTATACTGCACCAGTGAGGACAGCCGGGCAATCTAGAACATCCTGTCCAGTGGGATGACCCACTGAAGGTCAGGTAAGGTTGGAACAAAGGCTAGTCTCGAAGCTGCCACTGAACCGGACTGAGGACCTGGGCAGGAGGCAGAACTACGGTTCACTCTTGCTAGTGGCTAGAATACACAACTCAGGAATCTGGTTGATGTAGGAGAGAAAAACAAAGCCCAAGCCAGAGGGAAGCTGAGGGGAAAGGCAGGGCCACCAGGTAGACTGTTTAAGAGAGAACCATGGCACAGACGCAATCCCGCAGCCAGGCTAGGGCAAACAAGACAGAACAGAGAGTGCTGTAGCCCAGCAGCCACGCCACCATGCTGACACTAAGTCCCATGGCTTCAGAAACAGCTCCTTTCCCAAGCCAGATTAGCTCAGGCGCTAGAGAGGTCCACCAGGCGGAGACAGGCCACCAGGCACAGGCTGCCTTCACCACACCCAGCGCTGTCCTGTCTCCTAAAGTGACCCAGCAAGAGTCCAGAGAGGACTTCCAGCTGATCTAATGTCTAGTGTGTGACCTTGGCCACGGCGACGGGATGAGAAGTGTTCCTTCCACTGTGCCAAGTTGGATTAAGTCATTTTATCGGCAGAATTCTTTTAAAAGGTAAGAGTCCTTGTGGGGTGAGGAAACACAAACGAGTTACCCTCTTTCATTTCGGACTTTTATACTTTGCTTTTTAAAATAGAGATTGGGAGACCTGAGGAAATTCGGAGATATAATCAGAAGACTTCGGGTAGATTTTTCTTCTCTTATGTTTGAGGATTTGCTGAGGAGTGGAAGTTGGAAGGTGTCGAGAATGAGATACAACTCAATCTGGCTCTAAAAACTTACATTCAGCATATATACAAAGGCAAATAACTAAGATCACACACACACACACACACACACACACACACAAAATGTCTGACGCAGCTCAAAATGTAGAAATGAAACACAGGAATTAAACACACAAAGAAGGAAAAAACCAAGACTCTGCCAGAAGAATAAGGCAGGAAGCTGCCGTGAAAATGAAGTTAGTTCATTCTTGAGGAAGCATCAACCGCTCGGCTAAGGGAAAGCCGCTCCTCACCCCGTCTTCTCAAGGCCTCCCGAGGGCAGGGCACCGAACCCATGCTACGAACAACCACAACCAACATGAGCAAAAAGTTCGGAAAGGCTACTGTGTGCACACTCACAAACACCCCATCTCCCTTGAATCGAGTTCTCGAAATCCAGGGCGCCTTTACAAAAATAAGGTAAAGCCGCCGCAAAGCCCATTGCTGCTGTTCGGACGCCGCTGTGTTAGAGAAACCCTGAGTGAGGTCCCAGGAGAAGAGGCCTTGGCCTCTGTTTGCCCTTCTTTCCAGAGACATTCGCTTAGAAGGCAGCTCAGCTCTGATGCCAGCCCTCGGCTTCAACCCCACCTCACCCCAGCCACACACGCAGGCAAAACAACTCACACACAGAAAATAAATAAATAAACTTCAGAAGTCCTTTCCCTTCAGCTTCTCGCCCACTTTTATAATTTGTTGATGATATCTTAATTCTCTCTTGCTCGCCGAATAAATCTGAAGAGGTGAAAGTGAGGGTCACATTTTTAGGACAACTCGTGACCAAACTCTTTGTAGAACCCCCAAATAACCACATAATTAAACTAAATGTCCTGAGAGCGAAAGGCGTTTGCTTTTATTCTGTCGTTTCCAACTGCGCAGCCAGGAAGACCGTCTAAGCCGGTGGTTCTCAACCTATGGGTTGTGACCCCCCTTAGAGGTCACATATTGGATAACCTGCATACCAGATATTTACATTACGGTTCATGACAGCAGCAAAATTGAAATTATGAAGTAGCGACGAAAGAATTTTAGGGTTGGGGGGTCACCCCAACGTGAGGAACTGTATTAAAGGGTCGCAGCATTAGGAAGGTTGAGAACCACTGCTCTAAGTTGAATACCAGAAAAGCACAAATCATTTTCGACACCTCCCCGGCTCTATGATATATATTCTGCTTTAATAAAGTGGTAAGAATGCCCGAGATATTTTACCCTGGTTTTGTTCAGACACACAGAATATGCAATTTTCTAAGGCCAAAACCCACGCTGAAAATTCTAGAGATTCTTAAAGGCCAGTATTTTCACTGTTTCAAAAAAACATGTAAGCCGGGCGGTGGTGGCGCATGCCTTTAATCCCAGCACTCGGGAGGCAGAGCCAGGCGGATCTCTGTGAGTTCGAGGCCAGCCTGGTCTATAGAGCAAGATCCAGGAAAAGCACCAAAACTACACACAGAGAAACCCTGTCTCGAGAAAAAAAAAAATTTGGACAAGCTAGGAATATAGATATTTTTAGATTTTCCACTAAATGTTTACCAGGTCTTTCTAAATTAACTGGATGGCCCATACTGGTCAGATATTCAAATATGTCATTAATGAAAAGAGCATTAATTGTGATTACTTAGTACATGTGGTCTCAAAATTATTCAAAATATGAGGCCTATGGTGCAAAAAAATAATAAAAGTATTTTGCTGGTAGCATTTGGGTTTTTTGTTTTGTTTTGTTTTTAACCAGTTCTGTCTCACTATGTAGCCCTGGCTATCCTGGAATTCTCTCTGTAGACCAGGCTGGCTCAGAGTCGCAGAGATCCACCTGTCTCTGCCTCCCCACAGCTGAGACTAAAGGCATGCATTCTGTTACAGTCACTTTTTTAAAAACAGTAACAACAAATTCTGAAGACCTCTATCTTTATTAAAAAAAAACAAACAAACAGAAAATGTTGAATTCTTAACTCTGGAAATATGCTAACTCAGTTTGGATCGGTTGACATCATCAACTTTCCATTATCTTCGTTTAAAAAAAAAAAATAGCCTTTCCAGGTCAGCCCTCTGTTCCCCAATCTTTGTAAAAAGTCATATTTATTAGAGGACTTGAAGGGAACAGGGCTGTACACACAGTTCCTTCCTCTCACAGACCAGGCACACAGCACCAAACCATGCTGTTTCTTTCCAAACCGCAGCTTCTAACTCTCCATGAAAAGAAAATGAGATTCTCCCCCAAATTACTGCCCTTGCAAAATAAAATGCCTCAGGTGTCTGAACAAAGCTGAAGTTGAAAAGGCCATTTTAAACCAATAGCCTTTTAAAAAAATAAATAAATAAACCAACAACCTAAAGCAGGCTTCAGAATAAACCCCTGGGCCTCATAGGCTGGCTGAAGGGACAGCCTTCCTAGAGGCTGTGCCCATGGTCTGACCTTCTTCAGCTGGCAGCCTGGCACCCCACAGATCAGTTATCAGTAGGCCAAAACCTGCTTTCCCATCTGCACTTTCCAAATGGCTCCTGTTGCCAAAGGGCTCAGAGTGACCTGGCTCTCTGATGAGAACATGCCTCCCGAGGGACTCGCCAGGTTTCCCTGGAAGCATATCTAAACTGACCTCTGAGCTCGCTCCTTAACTTCTCAGTCTCAGGGTTCACCTTCCTCTCCTCTCTGGAGTTTCCCAACACCGCCTCCCCCATTCTGCCCTTCCAACGCCATGCCCTCTCAGTCCAAATTCCCTGCCCATGTACATGAGCCATTGACCCCTGGTCCCCTAAAACACCCGACTTTCGATCCAAAGGGCACAGTTGCGACAATCCCGGAGCTGTGTTGAAGTGATCTCTTGGAGGCCTACCTGTAGGCAGCTCAGCTGGGGCTTCCTCTCTGGCCTTCTCCAGCTTCTCTCTTACCCAGGGAAATTCCTGGAGGGAATCAAGGAAGGTATCGAATGCTTTAGGGCCCCTGGAAGGCAAGATATCCAGCAGCATCATTGTCTTCCGGAGGCCTGTGGTTTGAGCTTTGATTTCTTGAACATGGTTTTCCGTCAAAACCCCTTCCTGGTAGAGGTACTGAAGAACCAGCCCCTCCACCAGGACCTCTGCGCCCAGTTCCAGACGCAGGGAGCGGAGCACTTGCTTGTCCCTGGCATCCATTTCTCCCTGGAAAGAAACAAAATCTGCACTCAGGTTACAGGGACGCTGGTGGACCCCTTAAAGATAATGTTGCTGCGACATCATTAATAAGCGCCTCCAGGTCACTCAGATCTTCCCATCTTAGCAGAGTACCAAGTCGCAGTGTTTCCTATGTGGCTGCTAAGCCAAATCCAGTTCATTGCAAACACTTCCCAGCATCGTGAAGAACACTAATTAGGAATCCGTCTCTATCTCTGCTTTTCACATGATGGGGTCCCATTTCAATTCCCTGTTCAGTAAGAGATACGACAGAAGACAGATCTGAGACCTTACTTAAAACGCAATCCCTGGGAATTATAGAACAGCGTTTAATTTTAGCATGCTGGAGAAGAGTGGATTTTAATTTAATATTCATCAGTCAGTCCAGCACCCACACTGTAGTAATGGCCAAAATGACCAGGGACATTTGTAGACCCTGACCAGCAATGATGGGGGGGTGGGGGGTGAGAGGAGGGGACTGGAGGGGGAGAGCGCAATCCAGAGGTAAGAGTGGGTTTAAGGATCTTTCCTACAGATAAGACCTCCCTCCACAGGACCAGCACCCTCAAGAAAATAAGTGTGTGTATGCCTTTTACAACAAGCCTTATGAACACAGTCACAGGAAGGAATGCCTTCCAAGAATTCAGAGCCTGGGTCTCAGTACAGTACGGGGCCTTTAATGAGCTCGGGTGGCTAGTGTGCTGTGGGGTTGGCAATGAAGGAAACGGGGAGGAGGAGAGGAAAGGCTTCCGACACCCGATCCCAGCCTTCCGCACAAGCCTCTGCAAAAGCCCTGAGGTGGCAGGTGAGGGGGCGGGGGGGGGATGTCCCACACTGCGCCGCGTGTTTCCATTTGCAACTCTGGAAACCTCCCGGTCTGTGCGGCTGAAACCCGCGGCTGTGCCGCACACGGGAGGAGCCACCAGCGACGATCGGGGACCAGGACCCCGCGGGATGATCCTCACGGCGGGGACCGCACCCCCGGCACCGCCACCCGAACCCTAGCCTAGCTCGGAGAGCAGAGCAGAGGGAGCCGAGAGAGCCGCGCAGGGGCGGTGTCGCCACGGCGCGGGGATTTCGAGAGAAGATGGGTTCCTGTTACTTACGTCTGCGACCACGTATCTTAAAAAAAAAAAAAAGACTACAACCGGAATCCAGACTGTCAGGGAACCTGTACCACAAACACCATTTTTGTTGCAGGCAAAAACCCTGGACAGGAAGTACCGTAGCCATCTTTGTGGAGGGCAAGGGAAGGAAGTGTGGTAGCCATCTTTGTTGAGGGCCCAAGAGGTCAGGTTGACGCTTTCTCCGCCATGGTTGCTGTGGGTAAAAGAGACAATCTCTCCTAGACTTAAAAAAAAATATATAGTTTAAATGATCTCAGGGATTATCTAAATGAAAGAGTAAATGAATCGTTGAATTTTAACACAAAATCTCCATTGAGAGCCTTACACATAATAAGCAGGTCAAAAGTAACTCCAGCAGCTAAGCTCTGGGTTCAATTCCCAGTAAAAATCACACACTTGCACAAATTAATTTTATAACATGAAGTGATGAATAAACTCATCAATTCATTTTGACAAGAGGATGTATCTGCTATTATTATTATTATTATTATTATTATTATTATTATTATTATTATTATTATTATTTAGGGTATGTGTGGTATATGTGTACAAACGTGCATGAATATAGGTCTTTCTGTGCAGGGCCAGAAGAAGGCATCAGATCCCCTGGACCTGGAGTTAAGGGGAGTTTGAGCTACCTGGTGTGGGTGCTGGGAACCAAACTCAGGTCTTCTGCAAGAGCAGTGTGTGCTCTTAACAGCTAAGCCATGTCTCCTGCTCCAACTCTTTGTTTGTTTGTTTGTTTTGTTTTTCAAGACAGGGTTTCTCTATGCAGTCCTGGCTGTCCTGGAACTCTCTCTGTTGACCGGGCTGACCTCGAACTCAGAGATCTGACTGCTTCTGCCTCTTGAGTGCTGGGATTACAAGTGTGCACCATCACACCTGGCTTGCTAAAAACTTTTGACAATAGGAAAGGAATACCTTAGCAACACCTCTAGTTCGAGATGAAATATCTAAAAACAAATCAGTGAACAGTTCTAAATCTCCCTCCTAGCCTTCCAATTGTGTGTGCAGTTTACAGTACTAACGGACTTCAGTGTTTCTATGCAGGCACTAGCCATCTTAGAGGCAGTGTTTTTACGTTAAGTGGTAGGAATTGTTTTAGCATTTCAAATAGCTGCAGTCTGTAGAATCAGGAAAGTCAATTGCATCATCTAAAATCTCACAGCCAGTACAGAGTAAAACCTAAATTGCAACCAAGTCCTCTGATTTCATGCTCTTTCCAGTACACCATACAATCACATAGAATGGACTCTTGTTCTAGAGGCAGCCAAAATATTTCTAGTGAATCACCCCATTGCCACCTCCTACTCTTGTTATTCTTCAATTACGCAGAGGATTCCTCATTATCTTTTGTTCTAGAATTGATGTCCTTAAAAAGAAAAAGGTGGATACGTGTTAACAACAGTTGCTGTCTTCATCCAAATAAGTAACAGAGATTTTGAATGATTACAAATAGCTGAGAATTCCTGCCTTCTTGGAGAGAAAAAGAGGCATAGTTATTCCAACAACAAGCTGTGACAATTCTCACATGCATAGGAAAAATAAATAACACAATAAATGCTCACACTTGTTTTGTTTGTTCATTTGTTTGTTTTGAAGTTTAAGGCACTTTTTGGTGACTTGTAGTGTCTGGACATACTTGAAATTTTCTTCTTAGGACTACGAGGTAAACATTGATGACGCTGTCCAGGAGGTGGGGAGGCAACAGTAGAACGCATTAGGGTTGACTGCTGTGGAATAATCCTTTTGTACACTGTGAATATATATTACTCTCATTGTTAATAAAAAGCTGATTGGCTGATAACTGGGCAGGAAGAGACTGGGCAAGAAATCCTGAGACAAAGAAAATGCTGGGATGAAGAAGGTCAGAGAGAGAGGAGTGGACCAGCCAGATGGATAATGAGTCGGACACACAAAATGGGATAGAGGTAAAAGCCACAAACCTTGGGGCAGCACATACATTGATAGAAATGGGTTAAGTTGTAAAAGCTAGTTAGTAATAAGCCTGAGCTAACAGCTGAATATTTATGATTAATATTGAGTCTTCATGTAGGTTATTCAGGAATTGGTGGGCAGGACAGTAATTTCTGTCTACAGTGCACAGAAGAGAGGAAAAGAGAGCAGAGGCAGCGTAAGAATTGAGGCTAATGTTGAAGGAAATGGAATCTTTATTGTAGTCTTTCTCTGTCCTACCAGCCAGCTCGCAAATCATGACACAGGGACTTATTTTAATTATGGAACCTTATTATTAATTATGAAAGCTCGGCCGATAGCTTGGGCTGGTTTCTAACCAGCTCTTATAGCCTAAATTAACCCATATCTTTTAATTTACATTCTTTTGTGTGGCTCGAATACCTTTACCCTCTACTTCCCATGCTGCTCCTTTGCATCTCCTAGTATCCCCCTTCTTCCCAGCATCCTCTCTGCCTGAAAATCCTGCCTAGCTACTGGCCATTCAGCTTTTTATTAAACCAATCAGAGCAACACATCTTCACAGTGTATGAAAAGATTATTCCACAACACCATAAGGTGAACAATCTGAGGGACTATCAGTTAGGGATCGGACTTAGATATCTAGGATGATGCCCATCACCATCAAATCCCTCTTCCAGTGGCAAATGTGGCTTGCTATCTGATTGGCTCTGACTGACTAGTGAACCACCATCCAACAACCTAGTGGAGGACCATTACCCAAGTAAGCACACAGTGGTTCTTCTCAGTAGCACATTACAGCTTCACTTATATTAATGACCAAGATCAGTGGCCTCTAAGGAAACAAATTATCAGAATCATCATTGCAGGTAGCTTCTCCACCACCCTGGTCAGTCCCTCTTTGTCAACTTGAATTAGAGGACTAAGCATCTATTACCCAGTGGTAACTGCTGTGGGATGTTCTGTATGGCAAATGTGTTGCTAATTAGTCAATAAATAAAACACTGATTGGCCATTGGCTAGGCAGGAAGTGTAGGCGGGACAAGGAGGAGAATAAAGCTGGGAAGTGGAAGGCTGAGTCAGAGAGACACTGTCAGCCGCCATGATGAGAAACAGTATGTGAAGAAGCCGGTAAGCCACGAGTCATGTGGCAAGGTATAGATTAATGGAAATGGATTAATTTAAGCTGTAAGAACAGTAAGCAAGAAGCCTGCCACGGCCATACAGTTTGTAACCAATATAAGTCTCTGTGTTTACTTGGTCGGGTCTGAGCGGCTGTGGGACTGGCGGGTGAGAGAGATTTGTCCTGACTGTGGGCCAGGAAGGAAAACTCGAACTACAGGTAACTAACTGATTTTCAGGAAGAAGTGATATTTTCTTTCCTCCTTCCTTCTATTATGTTTACCTATGTCAGAATATACTCCTAGTGGATTTGAAGAGAGAGAGAGAGTGAGAAATAGCATTTTTGTGTCTTTCAATTTGACCGTTACTTTTGCAGTATTCAAAAAACAACAAGTCAAAGAAGTTGGATGTTGTGGAATAATCTTTTTGTACACTGTGAAGATGTGTCACTCTGATTGGTTTAATAAAAAGCTGAATGGCCAATAGCTAGGCAGGATTTCCCGGCAGGGAGGACACTGGGAAGAAGAAGGCAGAGTCACCAGCCAGGCACAGAGAAAGCAGGATGGACAGTACAGAGTAGAGGTAACTGAGCCTCATAAAAGAACATAGATTTAAAAATATGGGTTAATTTAAGTTATAAGAACTAGTTAGGAACAAGCCTAAGCTAAGGCTGAGCTTTCATAATTAATAATAAGTCTCCTTGTCATTTTTTGTGAGTGGGTAGCCCAAAGAAAAATCCATCAACAGTTGGATATTTGGGTTCTTCCTGTTTCATAGATGTGGAAATAAAGTCATGGAGAAAAAAACAGATTCTTTTTTTAGTACATTTGAAATCATCACAAAACTAGATCTTGAATTAGGTCACAAAAAAAACTGATAAATTACAAACTACAAAAGTATGTACTTTCCCGTTACACAATAAAATTCAAAATTTTTAATAGAAGGATAACATTCCATGAGTTTGGAAATTAAGTAAAAATAACTCTAAGCAGGGCATAATGGTGCATGCCTTTAATCCCAGCACTCTCAAGACTGGCAGGCAGACCTCTGTGAGTTCAAGGCCAGCTTGGTCTACATAGCAAGGCCAGAAAAGACTATGTAGTGAGACCTTGTCTCAAAAGGAGGAGAAGGAGGAGAAGGGGTGTTGTGGGATATTTTGATTACATTCTAATTTAGTCCTGAGACTGCCCAATAAAGTTATACCTTGAATCAGGGGGTGGAGCCAGTGACTAGCTGACCAGAATTGGCTATAGAGAAGCCAAGAATTTGGATAGAGAAAACGCACAGGAAGGAAAGGGTGGGGACTAGAGTTTAAGCTCTCTTCATTTTGGGATGCAGGAAGAGATATGTCTCTTGTGGTGTCTGGCCAAAAAGCAAGGTCAGCTAGTTGCTACTCAGCCTCTGTGACCTAGAAATTTTCACTCAGCCCTTGACTTCTAAGTCTTATTGATGGACAGAATGATAGACTTAATTTAAACCTACACATTGGGATCGTGAGATGGGTGGGGTCTTACTAAGTTGCCTAGGCTGACCCGGAATTTGTGATTCTCCTGGCTTCAGCATCCCTGTAGCTGAGATTACAGGTGAGTACCACCTTGCCTTGCCCTCCTAAATTCTTGAATAGAAAAGTCACACATTTAACAGAAAAAAGAAAGGAGGGAAAGAAAAGAGACGTGGATGGAGGTAGGAAGGGGGACAGAGAGAGAAACTCAACAAGATGGCAGGGTACCTCCTTAAACAAGTAAGGTAAAGCATCGCCTGTGAATGCCTGGAAGACGCACAGGACAGTCTGCTATAACCCTGGCACTCTGTGACGTAAGGCCAGGAGAATCACGACTTCCAGGCCATCCTAGGCTACATGGAGAGACTTCATCTCAAAAAGAACAGCAGAAAGTCACATAAGTGTCACCCGCTTTGATGTAATAAAAAGGGCTTCTCACCTCCAAAATCTTGCTGCCAAAATCTGTAACCTCAACCATTCCATTAGAAGATCACATCACACAAACTCAAGTGGTGAAAAATTCTGCA